TACTCGGTCCTATCTTGTTTCTGATATATGTAAATGATCTCCCGGAGGGTATCGATTCATTTCTCTCAATGTTTGCGGACGATGCTAAAATTATGAGAAGGATTAAAACAGAAGAGGACTGTTTGAGGCTTCAAGAAGACCTAGACAAGCTGAAGGAATGGTCGAACAAATGGTTGTTAGAGTTTAACCCAACCAAATGTAATGTAATGAAGATAGGTGTAGGGAGCAGGAGGCCAGATACAAGGTATCATCTGGGAGAGGAAATTCTTCAGGAGTCAGAGAAGGAAAAAGACTTGGGGGTTGATATCACGCCAGACCTGTCTCCTGCAGCACATATCAAGCGGATAACATCAGCGGCATATGCCAGGCTGGCCAACATACGAACGGCATTCAGAAACTTGTGTAAAGAATCATTCAGAACTTTGTATACCACATATGTCAGGCCAATCCTGGAGTATGCAGCCCCAGCATGGAGTCCATATCTAGTCAAGGATAAGACTAAACTGGAAAAGGTTCAAAGGTTTGCCACCAGACTAGTACCCGAGCTGAGGGGTATGAGCTACGAGGAGAGACTACGGGAATTAAACCTCACTTCGCTGGAAGACAGAAGAGTTAGGGGGGACATGATCACCACATTCAAGATTCTGAAAGGAATTGATAGGGTAGATAAAGACAGGCTATTTAACACAAGGGGAACACGCACAAGGGGACACAGGTAGAAACTGAGTGCCCAAATGAGCCACAGAGATATTAGAAAGAACTTTTTTAGTGTCAGATAGGTTGACAAATGGAATGCATTAGGAAGTGATGTGGTGGAGGCTGACTTCATACATTGTTTCAAGTGTAGATATGATAGAGCCCGATAGGCTCAGGAATCTGTACACCTGTTGATTGACGGTTGAGAGGTGGGACCAAAGAGCCAGAGCTCAACCCCCCGCAAACACAAATAGGTGAGTACAACTAGGTGAGTACAACTAGGTGAGTACAACTAGGTGAGTACACACACACACACACACACACACACACACACACACACACACACACACACACACACACACACACACACACACACACACACACAGAAGTTAAGATGGAAGCGCCCTTGAGAATGAGTGACCACAGTGTATTGAACTTTGAGTACCTGGTAGAGCTAGGACTTATCTCCCCAAAAAAAGAACTAGGAATCAAAAGGCTGGCATACCGAAAAGGGAATTATGAACAGATGAGAAGTTTCCTAAGTGAAATACCTTGGGACACAGACCTCAGAGACAAGTCTGTACAGGGTATGATGGACTATGTTACCCAAAAGTGTCAGGAGGCAGTAAACAGGTTCATCCCGGCCCAAAGGGAAAAATCCGAGAAGCAACAGAAGAATCCATGGTATAATAGGGCATGTATGGAAGCGAAGAAACTGAACAAAAGGGCGTGGAGGAACTTCCGGAATAACAGAACACCGGAAAGCAGAGAGAGATACCAGAGAACCAGGAATGAGTGCGTCAGGGTGAGAAGAGAAGCAGAGAAAAGTTTTGAAAATGATATAGCAAACAAAGCCAAGACCGAACAAAAGCTACTCCACAGTCAGATCAGAAGGAAAACAACAGTGAAAGAACAGGTATTGAAACTTCGAACAGGCGAGGACAGGTATACAGAGAATGACAGAGAGGTGTGTGAAGAACTCAACAAGAGGTCCAAGAGGTCTTCACAATAGAACAAGGTGAGGTCACTGTGCTAGGAGAAAGGGAGGTAAACCAGGCGGCCTTGGAAGAGTTCGAAATTACGAGAGAGGAGGTCAAGAGACACCTGCTGGATCTGGATGTTAGAAAGGCTGTTGGTCCAGATGGGATCTCACCATGGATACTGAAAGAGTGTGCAGAGGCACTTTGCTTGCCACTCTCCATAGTGTATAGTAAGTCACAGGAGACGGGAGACCTACCAGAAATATGGAAGACGGCGAATGTGGTCCCAATATACAAAAAGGGCGACAGGCAAGAGGCACTTAACTACAGGCCAGTGTCCTTGACTTGTATACCATGCAAGGTGATGGAGAAGATCGTGAGAAAAAACCTGGTAATTCATCTGGAGAGAAGGGACTTCGTGACAAATCGCCAACATGGGTTCAGGGAGGGTAAATCTTGCCTTACAGGCTTGATAGAATTCTACGATCAGGTGACAAAGATTAAGCAAGAAAGAGAGGGCTGGGCGGACTGCATTTTCTTGGATTGTCGGAAAGCCTTTGACACAGTGCCGCAAAAGAGGCTGGTACATAAGCTGGAGAGACAGGCAGGTGTAGCTGGTAAGGTGCTCCAGTGGATAAGGGAGTATCTAAGCAATAGGAAGCAGAGAGTTACGGTGAGGGGTGAGACCTCCGATTGGCGTGAAGTCACCAGTGGAGTCCCACAGGGCTCTGTACTCGGTCCTATCTTGTTTCTGATATATGTAAATGATCTCCCGGAGGGTATCAATTCATTTCTCTCAATGTTTGCAGACGATGCTAAAATTATGAGAAGGATTAAAACAGAAGAGGACTGTTTGAGGCTTCAAGAAGACCTAGACAAGCTGAAGGAATGGTCGAACAAATGGTTGTTAGAGTTTAACCCAACCAAATGTAATGTAATGAAGATAGGTGTAGGGAGCAGGAGGCCAGATACAAGGTATCATCTGGGAGAGGAAATTCTTCAGGAGTCAGAGAAGGAAAAAGACTTGGGGGTTGATATCACGCCAGACCTGTCTCCTGCAGCACATATCAAGCGGATAACATCAGCGGCATATGCCAGGCTGGCCAACATACGAACGGCATTCAGAAACTTGTGTAAAGAATCGTTCAGAACTTTGTATACCACATATGTCAGGCCAATCCTGGAGTATGCAGCCCCAGCATGGAGTCCATATCTAGTCAAGGATAAGACTAAACTGGAAAAGGTTCGAAGGTTTGCCACCAGACTAGTACCCGAGCTGAGAGGTATGAGCTACGAGGAGAGACTACGGGAATAAAACCTCACTTCGCTGGAAGACAGAAGAGTTAGGGGGGACATTATCACCACATTCAAGATTCTGAAGGGAATTGATAGGGTAGATAAAGACAGTCTATTTAACACAAGGGGAACACGCACAAGGGGACACAGGTGGAAACTGAGTGCCCAAATGAGCCACAGAGATATTAGAAAGAACTTTTTTAGTGTCAGAGAGGTTGACAAATGGAATGCATTAGGAAGAGATGTGGTGGAGGCTGACTCCATACATTGTTTCAAGTGTAGATATGATAGAACCCAATAGGCTCAGGAATCTGTACACCTGTTGATTGACGGTTAAGAGGCGGGACCAAAGAGCCAGAGCTCAACCCCCGCAAACACAACTAGGTGAGTACACACACACACACGAGTGTGTATGTGTGTGTGTGTGCGTTTATTTACCTATCAGTGACTACGGGAAAATAGTCATTGAGTGAACTGCACCTTACAAGCAAGGCAGGTGAACTTAGGGAAATAACATAAGAAGTGAACCCGGATGTAATTGTTCTTACGAAAACAAAACTCTCGGGAATCATCATGAATACAGTGTTTTCTTATGACTACACTGTATTAAGAAAAAGAGGGAAGGAAGGGGAGGAGGCGGATTGGCTCTACTGATGAGAAAGGAATGGAGTTGCGAGGAGATGGTTATTTCGGGCTGTGAGGGGGTTCAAAGACTTCATAACAGGCACCATGACAATGGGAGGACCAAGAGTAGTAGTAGCAGTTATATATAACCCTCCACCAAATGACAGAAGACGCAGGCAAGAAGTGACAACAACATGGCCGTTAACACTATAATTGAGAGAGCAGCCACTGATGCCTGTAGAAATCGATCCCATCTGCTCATCATGGGGGACTTCAATCATGGAAGGATGAACTGGAAAAACAAGGGACCGCATGGAGATGCGAAAACATGGAGAGCTAAACTATTGGAGGTGGTGACAAGAAACTTTTTAAGCCAGCCTGTCAGGAACCCACAAGAATGAGAGGCAACGATGAACCAGCGAGACTCGTCCTAGTATTCATTCTGAACGACTCCGACATAAGGGAAATCGATTTCGAAGCCCCTGTGGGAATGAGCGATCACAGGGTACTGATGTTTGAGTACCTGGTCGAAGTAGGGTTAAGGTACTCAAGGAAGGGCCTAGAAAACAAAAGGCTGGCATTCCGGAAGGGAAACTATGAGGAGAAAAGGATATTCCTAACAGATATAACTTGGGAAACAGCGCAGAGGAAAGACGGTCCAAGATATGATGGCCTACATCACACAGAAGTGTAAGGAGGCAGCAGACAAGTTCGTCCCAGTCCAAAAGGAAAAAATTAAATGCAGAAAAGAAACCCATGGCTTAGTCAGAGATGTAAGCTAGCAAAGCAACTAAGAACAAGGGCATGGAGAAACTATAGAAATAATAGGACACTAGATAGCAGAGAAAGATACCAGAGCGCCAGGAATGAATACGTCAGTGTGAGAAGAGAGGCAGAGCGACAATATAAAAATGACATAGCAAGGAAGGCAAAGACTTAACGTAAATTGCTGCACAGCCACATCAGGAGAAAAAAAACGTGAAGGAACAGGTAATGAAACTGAGGATAGGGGCAGACTTCCACCACAAACAACAAGGAAGTGTGCAAAGAACTCAATAAGAAATTCCAGGTCTTCACAGTAGAGCAATGAGAAGTCCCAGAGATAAGAGAGGGAATATCTAACCAGACATCACTCGAGGGGTTTGTGATTACCAGTGGGGAGGTGAGGAAGCATCTACTAGATTTGGATGTGACAAAGGCCATAGGCCCAGATGGAATCTCACCATGGATACTAAAGGAAGGAGCAGAAGCACTGTGCCTACCACTCTCCATAGTGTACAACAAATCACTGGTAACATGTGAACTGCCAAAAGTTTGGAAGACGGCCAATGTAGTCCCGATATACAAGAAGGGGGATAGACAGGAGGCACTGAACTACAGGCCAGTGTCACTAACTTGCATACCATGCAAGCTGATGGAAAAGATTATGCGAAAAAGCTAGAGGAACATCTGGAGCGGAAGAAGTTTGTAACACAACATCAACATGGGTTCAGAGATGGTAAATCATACCTCACAGGATTAACTGAATTCTATGACCAGGCAACACAAATTAGGCAAAATAGAGAGGACTGGGCAGACTGCATATTTTTGGATTGCCAGAAAGCCTTTAACACGGTACCACATAAGAGACAGGTGCACAAGCACTCCTGCAGGCACCAGTGAAAGGGAGGGTACCCCACAGGATAAGGGAGTAATTAAGCAACAGAAGACAGAGAGATCAATTTGAGGGGTGAGGTCTCGGAGTGGTGAGGCGTCACCTGTGGAGTCCCTCAGGGATAAGGTCCTGGACCTATACGTAAATGATCTCCCAGAGGGAATAGACTCGTTCCTCTCAATGTTTGCTGTTGATACAAAATTATGAGGAGGATTAAAACAGAAGAAGATAGTATAAGTCTACAAGATGACCTACAGAAACTGAAGGAATGGTCAAACAAATGGCTACTAAAGTTCAACCCAAGTAAATGTAAGGTGATGAAACTAGGCGGAGGAAACAGGACACCAGACATTGGATACCGAATGGGAGATGAAGTCCTTCATGAAACGAACAGAAAGAAAGATCTAGGAGTTGATATCACACCAAACCTGTCTCCTGAAGAAACACCAAAAGAATAACATCAGCGGCATATGCGAGGCTGGCTAACATCCAACCCGTTCTCGCAAATTCGTAAAGTCAATATTGACTTATTAACTACGTGCATAGGTGATATACTAAACATAATAGATACCCTTAAAAAGATTCATAGAAAACACCGACCTTACCTAACCTTGTTAGTATCTTAAGATAAGCATCTTATTGCTTCGTAATTACAATTATTACTTAACCTATACCTATTATAGGTTAGGTAATAATTGTAATTACGAAGCAATAAGATGCTTATCTTAACATACTAAGTAGGTTAGGTAAGGTCGGTGTTTTCTATGAATCTTTTTAAGGGTATCTATTATGTTAAGTATGTCACCTATGCACATATTTAATAAGTCAATATTGACTTATTAAATTTGCGAGAACGGGTTGCTAACATCAGAACAGCCTTCAGAAACCTGTGTAAGAAATCCTTCAGGACCTTGTATACCACATATGTAAGACCAATCCTGGAGTATGCAGCCCCAGCATGGAGCCCGTACCTTATCAAGCACAAGACGAAGCTGGAAAAAGTTCAGAGGTATGCCATAAAGCTAGTCCCAGAACTAAGAGGCATAAGTTACGAGGAAAGGCGGAGTGAACTGCGCCTCACGTCGCTGGAAGACAGAAGAGCTCGGGGAGTGATCACCACATACAAAATTCTCAGGGGAATTGACAGGGTAGACAAAGATGGATTATTTAACACGGGTGGCACACGCATAAAGGGACACAGGTGGAAGCTGAGTGCCCAAATTAGCCACAGAGACATTAGAAAAAACTTTTTCAGTGTCAGAGTAGTTAGTAACTGAAAAGCATTAGGAAGTAATGTGGTGGAGGCTGACTCACAACACAGTTTAAAATGTAGATATGACAGAGCCTAATAGGCTCAGGAATCTGTACACCAGTTGATTGTATCTGTACACAGTTGAGAGGCGGGACCAAAGAGCCAGAGCTCAACCCCCGGTGAGTACACCCACGTCACCAACATTGTCATGAGGCGAGACAACAATAGACATACAGAGATGGTGGAGGAACACGGGGCCGCAGGTGTAGACACGGGGCCGCAGGTGTAGACACGGGGCCGCAGGTGTAGACACGGGGCCGCAGGTGTAGACACGGGGCCGCAGGTGTAGACACGGGGCCGCAGGTGTAGACACGGGGCCGCAGGTGTAGACACGGGGCCGCAGGTGTAGACACGGGGCCGCAGGTGTAGACACGGGGCCGCAGGTGTAGACACAGGGCCGCAGGTGTAGACACAGGGCCGCAGGTGTAGACACAGGGCCGCAGGTGTAGACACAGGGCCGCAGGTGTAGACACAGGGCCGCAGGTGTAGACACAGGGCCGCAGGTGTAGACACAGGGCCGCAGGTGTAGACACAGGGCCGCAGGTGTAGACACAGGGCCGCAGGTGTAGACACGGGGCCGCAGGTGTAGACACAGTAACCAACAGAGAGAGAGAGCTGTTGAACACTCCCACAGCAGTAAACAAAGACAACATGTAAACCACACATTCACTTTACTCTCATTTTTCCTCCATATTTTGTGACGTGTAGTCTTACACTGTCTTTGTCCAGCTCAGACTCTCTCCTCCACTTTTACTTTAATATGAAAGAAATCTGTTGGTAAAGTAATTTTCTTACTTTTCCTCATAAGTAAATTTTGCAGTGGCTGTTACTTACCACTTAAAATATATGTTATTTTCTTATAAAAACATAAACATTATCAGATTAAGTAAACAGGCATCGTTGGAATATTTACAAAGTAAATTAAATAAGTAAATATAAGTAAATTAAATAAGTAAATATAAGTAAATTAAATAAGTAAATAATAATAATTAAAGTAAGTTATATAACTGAAATATAATATTTTTAAGATTTGTGACCATCAACTTTTGGTGTGGAAATTTGTAAGTCTCAACACATAAGGCTTTAGGCTTTCTATGGTAATAAGGCTTTAGGCTTTCTATGGTAATAAGGCTTTATAGGCTTTCTATGGTAATAAGGCTTTAGGCTTTCTATGGTAATAAGGCTTTATAGGCTTTCTATGGTAATAAGGCTTTAGGCTTTCTATGGTAATAAGGCTTTATAGGCTTTCTATGGTAATAAGGCTTTAGGCTTTCTATGGTAATAAGGCTTTAGGCTTTCTATGGTAATAAGGCTTTAGGCTTTCTATGGTAATAAGGCTTTAGGCTTTCTATGGTAATAAGGCTTTATAGGCTTTCTATGGTAATAAGGCTTTAGGCTTTCTATGGTAATAAGGCTTTAGGCTTTCTATGGTAATAAGGCTTTAGGCTTTCTATGGTAATAAGGCTTTATAGGCTTTCTATGGTAATAAGGCTTTAGGCTTTCTATGGTAATAAGGCTTTAGGCTTTCTATGGTAATAAGGCTTTAGGCTTTCTATGGTAATAAGGCTTTAGGCTTTCTATGGTAATAAGGCTTTAGGCTTTCTATGGTAATAAGGCTTTAGGCTTTCTATGGTAATAAGGCTTTAGGCTTTCTATGGTAATAAGGCTTTAGGCTTTCTATGGTAATAAGGCTTTAGGCTTTCTATGGTAATAAGGCTTTAGGCTTTCTATGGTAATAAGGCTTTAGGCTTTCTATGGTAATAAGGCTTTAGGCTTTCTATGGTAATAAGGCTTTAGGCTTTCTATGGTAATAAGGCTTTAGGCTTTCTATGGTAATAAGGCTTTAGGCTTTCTATGGTAATAAGGCTTTATAGGCTTTCTATGGTAATAAGGCTTTAGGCTTTCTATGGTAATAAGGCTTTAGGCTTTCTATGGTAATAAGGCTTTAGGCTTTCTATGGTAATAAGGCTTTAGGCTTTCTATGGTAATAAGGCTTTATAGGCTTTCTATGGTAATAAGGCTTTAGGCTTTCTATGGTAATAAGGCTTTAGGCTTTCTATGGTAATAAGGCTTTATAGGCTTTCTATGGTAATAAGGCTTTAGGCTTTCTATGGTAATAAGGCTTTAGGCTTTCTATGGTAATAAGGCTTTAGGCTTTCTATGGTAATAAGGCTTTATAGGCTTTCTATGGTAATAAGGCTTTAGGCTTTCTATGGTAATAAGGCTTTAGGCTTTCTATGGTAATAAGGCTTTAGGCTTTCTATGGTAATAAGGCTTTAGGCTTTCTATGGTAATAAGGCTTTAGGCTTTCTATGGTAATAAGCCTCGGGATTTATCCCGAGGCTTATTAATTAACATGGACGCTCACACGCTCACAGGCGCTCACACTCACGGGCGCTCACACACTCACGTGCTCTCACACACTCACGGGCGCTCACACACTCACGTGCTCTCACACACTCACGTGCTCTCACACTCACGGGCGCTCACACTCACGGGCGCTCACACACTCACGTGCTCTCACACACTCACGTGCTCTCACACACTCACGTGCTCTCACACACTCACGGGCGCTCACACACTCACGTGCTCTCACACACTCACGGGCGCTCACACTCACGGGCGCTCACACACTCACGGGCGCTCACACACTCACGTGCTCTCACACACTCACGGGCGCTCACACACTCACGGGCGCTCACACACTCACGGGCGCTCACACACGGGAGCGAAGGAACTTTGTAACACAGCATCAACATGGGCTCAGGAATGGCAGGCCCTGCCTCACAGGGTTACTTGAATTCTACGACCAGGCAACAAAAATAAGACAAGAAAGAGAAGGGTGGGCAGACTGCATATTTTTGGATTGTCAGAAAGCCTTTGATACAGTGCCACACAAGAGGCTAGTGAAAAAGCTGGAGATGCAGGCTGGAGTGAAAGGGAAGGTACTCCATTGGATAAAGGAGTACCTAAGCAACAGGAGACAACGAGTCAGTGTGAGGGGTGAGGTCTCAGATTGGCGAGACGTCACAAGTGGAGTCCCGCAGGGGTCAGTCCTTGGCCCTATACTGTTTCTGATATATGTAAATGATCTCCCAGAGGGTATAGAATCGTTCCTCTCAATGTTTGCCGATGATGCAAAAATTATGAGGAGGATTGAAAGTGAGGACAATAGTAGGAGGCTACAAGATGACCTAGACAGACTGAGTGAATGGTCCAACAAATGGCTGTTGAAGTTCAACCCGAGTAAATGCAAAGTAATGAAACTAGGCAGTGGAAACAGGAGGCCAGACACAGGATACAGAATAGGAGATGAAGTACTTAATGAAACGGACAGAGAGAAAGATCTAGGAGTTGATATCACACCAAACCTGTCTCCTGAAGCCCACATAAAGAGAATAACGTCTGCGGCATATGCGAGGCTGGCTAACATCAGAACGGCGTTCAGGAACCTGTGTAAGGAATCATTCAGAATCTTGTATACCACATATGTATTACCAATCCTGGAGTATGCGGCCCCAGCATGGAGCCCGTACCTTGTCAAGCACAAGACGAAGCTGGAAAAAGTCCAAAGGTGTGCCACTAGACTAGTCCCAGAACTAAGAGGCATGATTTAAGAGGAAAGGCTGCGGGAAATGCACCTTACGACACTGGAAGACAGAAGAGTAAGGGGAGACATGATCACAACCTACAAAATCCTCAGAGGAACCGACCAGGTAAACAAGGATAAACTATTCAACACGGGTGGCACACGAACAAGGGGACACAGGTGGAAACTGAGTACCCACATGAGCCACAGAGACGTTAGAAGGAACTTTTTCAGTGTCAGTGTAGTTAACAGATGGAATGCATTAGGCAGTGATGTGGTGGATGCTGACTCCATACACAGTTTCAAGTGTAGATATGATAGAGCCCAGTAGGCTCAGGAATCTGTACACCAGTTGATTGACAGTTGAGAGGCGAGACCAAAGAGCCAGAGCTCAACCCCCGCAAGCACAACTAGGTGAGTACACTCACGTGCGCTCACACGCTGAAGCACAGGTAATACAGGTGGTACTAATTATGAGAGAGAGGCCCAGCGGGTTCTATATATAGCCACAACACCTGCCTCACGCCCCACACCGCCCCGTCAACAGTCCCCGCGCCGTCAACAGTCCCCACCCCGTCAACAGTCCCCACCCCGTCAACAGTCCCCACCCCGTCAACAGTCCCCGCCCCGTCAACAGTCCCCACCCCGTCAACAGTCCCCGCCCCGTCAACAGTCCCCACCCCGTCAACAGTCCCCACCCCGTCAACAGTCCCCACCACGTCAACAGTCCCCGCCCCGTCAACAGTCCCCACCCCGTCAACAGTCCCCGCCCTGTCAACAGTCCCCACCCCGTCAACAGTCCCCATCCCGTCAACAGTCCCCACCCCGTCAACAGTCCCCACCCCGTCAACAGTCCCCGCCCCGTCAACAGTCCCCACCACGTCAACAGTCCCCGCCCCGTCAACAGTCCCCACCCCGTCAACAGTCCCCGCCCTGTCAACAGTCCCCACCCCGTCAACAGTCCCCATCCCGTCAACAGTCCCCACCCCGTCAACAGTCCCCACCCCGTCAACAGTCTCCACCCCGTCAAAAGTCCACGCCCCGTCAACAGTCCCCACCCCGTCAACAGTCCCCACCCCGTCAACAGTCCCCACCACGTCAACAGTCCCCACCCCGTCAACAGTCCCCACCCCGTCAACAGTCCCCACCCCGTCAACAGTCCCCGCCCTGTCAACAGTCCCCACCCCGTCAACAGTCCCCATCCCGTCAACAGTCCCCACCCCATCAACAGTCCCCACCCCGTCAACAGTCCCCGCCCCGTCAACAGTCCCCACCACGTCAACAGTCCCCACCCCGTCAACAGTCCCCTCCCCGTCAACAGTCCCCACCCCGTCAACAGTCCCCGCCCCGTCAACAGTCCCCGCCCCGTCAACAGTCCCCGCCCCGTCAACAGTCCCCGCCCCATCAACAGTTCCCGCCCCGTCAACAGTCCCCACCACGTCAACAGTCCCCGCCCCGTCAACAGTCCCCACCACGTCAACAGTCCCCGCCCCGTCAACAGTCCCTGCCCCGTCAACAGTCCCCGCCCCATCAACAGTCCCCGCCCCATCAACAGTCCCCGCCCCGTCAACAGTCCCCGCCCCGTCAACAGTCCTCGCCCCATCAACAGTTCCCGCCCCGTCAACAGTCCCCACCACGTCAACAGTCCCGGCCACGTCAACAGTCCCCACCACGTCAACAGTCCCCGCCACGTCAACAGTCCCGGCCACGTCAACAGTCCCCACCACGTCAACAGTCCCCGCCCCGTCAACAGTCCCCGCCCCGTCAGCAGTCCCCGCCCCGTCAACAGTCCCCACCACGTCAACAGTCCCCGCCCTGTCAACAGTCCCTGCCCCGTCAACAGTCCCCGCCCCATCAACAGTCCCCGCCCCATCAACAGTCCCCGCCCCGTCAACAGTCCCCGCCCCGTCAACAGTCCCTGCCCCGTCAACAGTCCCCGCCCCATCAACAGTCCCCGCCCCATCAACAGTCCCCGCCCCGTCAACAGTCCCCGCCCCGTCAACAGTCCCCGCCCCATCAACAGTTCCCGCCCCGTCAACAGTCCCCACCACGTCAACAGTCCCGGCCACGTCAACAGTCCCCACCACGTCAACAGTCCCCGCCACGTCAACAGTCCCGGCCACGTCAACAGTCCCGGCCACGTCAACAGTCCCCACCACGTCAACAGTCCCCACCACGTCAACAGTCCCCGCCACGTCAACAGTCCCCGCCCCGTCAACAGTCCCCACCACGTCAACAGTCCCCGCCCCGTCAACAGTCCCCACCACGTCAACAGTCCCCGCCCCGTCAGCAGTCCCCGCCCCGTCAACAGTCCCCACCACGTCAACAGTCCCGGCCACGTCAACAGTCCCCACCACGTCAACAGTCCCCGCCACGTCAACAGTCCCGGCCACGTCAACAGTCCCCACCACGTCAACAGTCCCCACCACGTCAACAGTCCCCGCCCCGTCAACAGTCTCCACCACGTCAACAGTCCCCGCCCCGTCAACAGTCCCCACCACGTCAACAGTCCCCGCCCCGTCAGCAGTCCCCGCCCCGTCAACAGTCCCCACCACGTCAACAGTCCCCGCCCCGTCAACAGTCCCTGCCCCGTCAACAGTCCCCGCCCCATCAACAGTCCCCGCCCCATCAACAGTCCCCGCCCCGTCAACAGTCCCCGCCCCGTCAACAGTCCCCGCCCCATCAACAGTCCCCGCCCCGTCAACAGTCCCCACCACGTCAACAGTCACCACCCCGTCAACAGTCCCCGCCCCGTCAACAGTCCCCACCCCGTCAAGTCCCCACCACGTCAACAGTCCCCGCCCCGTCAACAGTCCCCACCACGTCAACAGTCCCCGCCACGTCAACAGTCCCCACCACTTCAACAGTCCCCGCCACGTCAACAGTCCCCACCACGTCAACAGTCCCCGCCACGTCAACAGTCCCCGCCACGTCAACAGTCCCCACCACGTCAACCGTCCCGGCCACGTCAACAGTCCCCGCAACGTCAACAGTCCCCGCCACGTCAACAGTCCCCACCACGTCAACAGTCCCGGCCACGTCAACAGTCCCCGCCACGTCAACAGTCCCCACCACGTCAACAGTCCCCGCCACGTCAACAGTCCCCACCACGTCAACAGTCCCCGCCACGTCAACAGTCCCGGCCACGTCAACAGTCCCCGCCACGTCAACAGTCCCCGCCCCGTCAACAGTCCCCGCCCCGTCAACAGTCCCCGCCCCATCAACAGTCCCCGCCACGTCAACAGTCCCCGCCCCGTCAACAGTCCCCGCCCCGTCAACAGTCCCCGCCCCGTCAACAGTCCCCGCCCCATCAACAGTCCCCGCCCCGTCAACAGTCCCCGCCCCGTCAACAGTCCCCGCCACGTCAACAGTCCCCGCCCCGTCAACAGTCCCCGCCCCGTCAACAGTCCCCGCCCCGTCAACAGTCCCCGCCCCCTCAACAGTCCCCGCCCCGTCAACAGTCCCCGCCCCGTCAACAGTCCCCGCCCCGTCAACAGTCCCCGCCCTATCAACAGTCCCCACCCCGTCAACAGTCCCCACCACGTCAACATGGTTGGTCAGGATAACGGGTGACGGGCTGGGAGTAGTAGCACGGACTATGGTGAGCCCGTAATTGAGTTCGCTTATTGGCGATAACCTTGTTACTGTGATATTTGGCTCATAGTTTTAAATGGAGGCGGGTTTTTCTCCTTTTCTCCCGTTTCTTCTCACCCCGCCTGGTGTAAGGAGCTATATAGAGCTATATAGAGCTATATAGAGCTATATAGAGCTATATAGAGCTATATAGAGCTATATAGAGCTATATAGAGCTATATAGAGCTATATAGAGCTATGTTAGTTGACCTCTGTTTTGATGGTTATAAACCATGGACCTTATTCACGACGAAACTCTTTTTTTTCTTATTTGTTTCTATGTTACCCACGACAATATTTATGTCAGTGATGTCACTAATGATGTCACACAGGGCGATGTGTCACTAACAACATCACACAGGGCGATGTGTCACTAACAACATCACACAGGGCGATGTGTCACTAACAACATCACACAGGGCGATGTGTCACTAACAACATCACACAGGGCGATGTGTCACTAACAACATCACACAGGGCGATGTGTCACTAACAACATCACACAGGGCGATGTGTCACTAACAACATCACACAGGGCGATGTGTCACTAACAACATCACACAGGGCGATGTGTCACTAACAACATCACACAGGGCGATGTGTCACTAACAACATCACACAGGGCGATGTGTCACTAACAACATCACACAGGGCGATGTGTCACTAACAACATCACACAGGGCGATGTGTCACTAACAACATCACACAGGGCGATGTGTCACTAACAACATCACACAGGGCGATGTGTCACTAACAACATCACACAGGGCGATGTGTCACTAACAACATCACACAGGGCGATGTGTCACTAACAACATCACACAGGGCGATGTGTCACTAACAACATCACACAGGGCGATGTGTCACTAACAACATCACACACACGTGAAATAATCAATGATGGAGTCAGAGTCTGTCTCCTGTGGATTCCTTCCCATATTGGTCTCCGAATGAATGACAGAACTGATGAGTTGGCCAAGACTTTTGCTCCTAAAGACTGAATTGATTACCATCTTGGACTGCCTTTGAGCAGCCTGAGGGCAGTAATATTCCGGGAACATCAACAAAACCTCGTAAACTAGAGTACTGCTCAGTACTCACTTCCCCCTTCAGAGCAGGAGAGATTGCTGAAATAGAGGGAATACAGAGAACATATACGGCACGCATAGACGAGATAAAGCACCTAAATTATTGGGATCGTCTCAAAGCCCTCCAAATGTACTCACTAGAAAGGAGACGAGAGAGATACCAAATAATATACACATAGAAAATACTGGAGGGCCAGGTCCCAAATCTGCACAGTAAAATAACAACGTACTGGAGTGAACGACATGGAAGAAAATGCAGAATAGAACCAGTGAAGAGCAGAGGTGCCATAGGCACAATCAGAGAACACTGTATAAACATCAGAGGTCCGAGGTTGTTCAACGTCCTCCCAGCGAGCATAAGAAATATTGCCGGAACAACCGTGGACATCTTCAAGAGAAATCTAGATTGTTTTCTCCAAGGAGTGCCGGACCAACCGGGCTGTGGTGGGTATGTGGGCCTGCGGGCCGCTCCAAGCAACAGCCTGGTGGACCAAACTCTCACAAGTCGAGCCTGGCCTCGGGCCGGGCTTGGGGAGTTGAAGAACTCCCAGAACCCCATCAACCAGGTATCAACGTGAGGCAAAGTGAAACTCACACCAGTTACTCCATCTATCATCATTCTATTATGCAGGAAGTACAGGACGTGTATGGGTCGTCCAATAATGTTAGCAGACTCCGAGATGTTACCACTGCTAGGCTCAGGCTCGGCTACAAGTACCTCTGGCAGTTTGTAACATCTGCTGATGTACATCTGACTAAATGTAAACTCTGGCAGCAGAACTATTCGCATACTTTGTGATATTATTTATTTATTTACTTATTTATTTATATATATACAATAAGGTACATTGGGTTTATGAGAGTACAAAGCATTGATGTTTTTAAATTATTGTAAAGCCACTAACACGCATAGCGTTTATGGCGAGTCCTTAATCTAACAGATAATATTAATTAGGTAATTTGTAGCAAAATTTATAAAATGATAAGAGGAACATTGTAAGAAAATTTGACAAAAATTAGTAGGTACATTAAAATTTTAAGGTTATAAATAGGTACATGGTAGCATAATTTGAGAATTATTTAACGGTATAACGCAGTAAAATATGTGTTAAATATAACAACCATGATATAAGATGATAGCAGTGATTACAATGGTAAAGTTATAGGGCTTAGGTACATATATTGGGGGATTGGTAGCACTAGATACAGTGTGTTAAAGCACAAGGTAGGAAACTATGAAGATGAAATTAAGTACTTTTTGGTTATTTTTTGAAAAACGCAAAAGTTGGACAGTTTTACAATGCATTAGGGAGTGAGTTCCATAGACTGGGTCCCTTTATTTGCATAGAGTGTTTACACAGATTAAGTTTGACTCTGGGGATATCAAAGAGATATTTATATCTGGTGTGGTGGGCTTGTGTTCTATTACATCTGTCCAGGGGGAGTTTCAGAGCATGGTTTGCATTTAAGAACAGGGTTTTGTAAATGTAGTTGACACAAGAGAATGTGTGGAGGGAGTTAATGTTTAGCAAGTTTAGGGAGTTAAACAAGGGAGCTGTGTGTTGTCTGAAAACAGAGTTTGTTATTGTTCTGATAGCAGATTTTTGCTGGGTGATGATGGGCTTAAGGTGGTTTGCAGTGGTAGACCCCCATGCACAGATACCATAATTAAGATAGGGGTAGATTAGTGCATAATATAGTGAGATGAGAGCAGAGTTAGGAACATAATATCTGATTTTGGAGAGTATACCAACTGTTTTAGAGACTTTCTTAGTTATGTGTTGTATGTGGGTACTGAAGTTGAGTCTCTTGTCTAGGAATATGCCAAGAAATTTTCCATCATTTTTATTACTGATGTTAATGTTGTCTATCTGAAGCTGAATTGCATTTGTTGATTGAATTCCAAGTAAGATGTAGTAGGTCTTTTCTATGTTTAGTGAGTTTGTTGGTTGACATCCATAATTGAATTTTTTTTTAGTTCATTGTTTACAACATTATTTAGTGTATGTGGGTTGGGGTCTGAGTAGATGAAGGTAGTATTGTCAGCAAACAATATAGGTTTCAGAATGTTAGAGACATTAGGCAGATCATTGGTGTAAAGAATAGGAAGGGTCTTAGGATGCTGCCCTGTAGCACCCCTACGGTTAATGGTAAAGTGGGAGAGGTAATGGCTACATATTGGAGTCTGTCAAAATGTACACATACCATTATATAATGGAATGTGAAAAAATCGCGGAATTCAGAGATAACACCATCAATAGTGTCCAAGAAATGTGTAAGTACTTCATTCATAATGATGTGCTGCCCGAAATCTTAGCGAAGTATCCAAAATTTGCTTACTGTAGGTAATGCATGCACATGACTGTAAAGCTGCCGCCCAGTTGGGTGGGTGTGCAGCACATGACTGTAAAGCTGCCGCCCAGTTGGGTGGGTGTGGAGCACATGACTGTAAAGCTGCCTCCCAGTTGGGTGGGTGTGGAGCACATGCCTGTAAAGTTGCCGCCCAGTTGGGTGGGTGTAGAGCACATGACTGTAAAGCTGCCTCCCAGTTGGGTGGGTGTGGAGCACATGACTGTAAAGCTGCCGCCCAGTTGGGTGGGTGTGGAGCACATGACTGTAAAGCTGCCTCCCAGTTGGGTGGGTGTGGAGCACATGCCTGTAAAGTTGCCGCCCAGTTGGGTGGGTGTGGAGCACATGACTGTAAAGCTGCCGCCCAGTTGGGTGGGTGTGGAGCACATGACTGTAAAGCTGCCGCCCAGTTGGGTGGGTGTGGAGCACATGACTGTAAAGCTGCCGCCCAGTTGGGTGGGTGTGGAGCACATGACTGTAAGCTGCCGCCCAGTTGGGTGGGTGTGCAGCAAGACTAGTAACTGTGTGACTCACCATAGATGTAAAGTGCCTTGTATAGTGACTGTTGTGAGCCTCTTGTTGTACCACTTGTGATATAAAAAGATTATTAATATGTTTATGTATTTGTGTACATAAATGTATATATATATATGTACATGTGCATGTAACATTAACAATTGTGTACCTAGCTTCACAAGATTGTCACTTAGCTAAACGAACTATGGGGCTCAGTTTCTGAACCCATTATGTGCCTCTGTGACCCTGGGTCGCTGCAGGTGTTGGGGTCAGGTGGAGGGGTCGCTGCAGGTGTTGGGTCAGGTGGAGGGGTCGCCGCAGGTGTTGGGTCAGGTGGACGGGTCGCCGCAGGTGTTGGGTCAGGTGGAGGGGGTCGCCGCAGGTGTTGGGTCAGGTGGAGGGGGTCGCAGCAGGTGTTGGGTCAGGTGGAGGGGTCGCCGCTGGTGTTAGGTCAGGTGGAAGGGTCGCCGCAGGTGTTGGGTCAGGAGGAGGGGTCGCTGCAGGTGTTGGGTCAGGTGAAGGGGTCGCCGCAGGTGTTGGGTCAGGTGGAGGGGTCGCCGGAGATTTTGGGTCAGGTGGAAGGGTCGCCGCAGGTGTTGGGTCAGGTAGAGGGGGTCGCCGCAGGTGTTGGGTCAGGTGGAGGGGTCGCCGCAGGTGTTGGGTCAGGTAGAGGGGGTCGCCGCAGATGTTGGGTCAGGTGGAGGGGTCGCCGCAGGTGTTGGGTCAGGTGGAGGGGTCGCCGCAGGTGTTGGGTCAGGTGGAGGGGTCGCCGCATATGTTGGGTCAGGTGGAGGGGGTCGCTGCAGGTGTTGGGTCAGGTGGAGGGGGTCGCCGCAGGTGTTGGGTCAGGTGGAGGGGTCGCCGCAGGTGTTGGGTCAGGTGGAGGGGTCGCCGCAGATGTTGGGTCAGGTGGAGGGGTCGCTGCAGGTGTTGGGTCAGGTGGAGGGGTCGCCGCAGGTGTTGGGTCAGGTGGAGGGGTC